TGTCCCTGTCCTCCCTGCCAGGACAAGCTGTGAGCCAGTGGCCCTCCAGCACATCCCAGTGCCCGGTGGGGTTGGCTGGTGCTTGCAGGGGAGGCTGGAGGAGAGTGGGGTCCAGCAAGCCCCTGGGACACCAGCTGGTCACCTGTGAGGTGGCTCTGCTGTGTCTGTGCAGGCTGTGATGTGCAGGAGCTTGTCCTTCCCACCCTGCAGGGATGTGGGCAATGTGTGTGTGTGTGTCCGTGTGTCTGTGCACGAGGGTACTATTTAATGTCTATATTAGCACTATCTACACACTATGGAGCTGGGGCCCTTCTACATCCTCCATCCCATGCCTTGGCCAGCAGTGAGGGGCAGCAGGATCTCACAGGGGATGCCTCGGAGGGTGGCCGAGAGCTCCAGTCCAGCAGGGGGAGCAGAGCTGACCCTGCAGACACTTCCTTCCCAGCTCGGCCCATCCTTCCCGTGAGTGACACAGAGCCCCGGGCAGCGACTGCAGGAGCGTGTGGGGATGGAGAACGGCTGGGAGGTGACATGGGCTGGGTGTCATCCCAAACCCAGAGGACATTTTGGCCGTGGGATAAGGATGTGCCCGGGGATGCAGCATGTGCTGGGTGCTTCCCTGCACCCAATGCTCCCACATGGGGATGTGTCAGTGCAGAGTGGCCCCCCTGGATGTCCCCTTGTCATCCATCCCATGTGCCACCCTCAAGGCCACACCGTGTTGTCCCTGTGTGCACATCATGTGGCTGGAGGGACAGTGGCTCCCAGTGACAGACAGGCAGCAGGTCAGGGATGCACCCGGGGTTATTTCCTCCCTCCATGGATTTTGGGGAGTTGTGTTCCTGCTGCCGTGTCCGTGGCAGCTGGACTGTGGGACTGAGGGTGGCACACCTGTGGCACTGCCATTACCGCCAGCCCTGCCTCCTGCTGCTTGTCCCCAGCCATCCTGGGCCACATCCCCTTCAGTGTTCCTAATAAACCAAGACTGGTGACAGCTGGGACCTGTGCTTTGTATTGCTGGGTGCAGAAAGGGCTGTGAGCCAGGGGCTGGTGCTGTGGGGACATGGGGCTGAAGGAACAGACACCTGTACAAGTGTGGGCTCTGGATTTGTGACCAGCCCACCCCTGCTGGAGGCTGTGCTGTCCCATGAGGCTCTGACTGAGCCCTGCCCCAGCTGCAGGAGGTACTTGGAGAATTTTACTAGGAAAAAAATCTAAAGATTAAATTTATCCCTTCATCTGCTGAATCCTGGAAATAAAACAGAAACGTCCCTTTCTCTAAAACTTACTCAGACTTCATTAGCTCAGACAAAAATATACAGACATCAGGTGAGCCCTGCTGGTACAGACCAAGCCTGTATCACTCTCCCCCCATCCCTGCCAGTCCTGCATCCCTCCAGATCAGCAGCACAAGGTCAAATATTTCCAGGGAAGTGCTCTGGGCCCTCACCTCCCTCCCACACAGTCCCAGCTCGGTGCCAGGCTCAAGGTTCCCCCTGGCATTGGTGTTTGCCCTTGCCACACACCGGTGCCAGCAGAAAGATCTCCCTGTGGCCGAGTCCAGCAGGATCTCTGGAGCATGTTGGGATCCTTCCCTCAAACCTGGTCCTTAGAGCAAAACCCTGGGATGCACCAGGAAGTCCTTGATCCATCACAGCCTTCTGCTGCTACCAGAAGGTCCAGGGGGGCTGCATCATCTCGTAGGTGGGAATGCTGGTGACGTTGACAGGAATGGAGATGACGGCCCAGGGGAGCCCGTGCTGCTCCAGGGAGCGCCTGATCATGTACCTGGGGATGGAGGGGTGACAGCTGTTCCCAAGCTGCCAGGGCTGGGAGGGTGCAGCCAGACCCCAGCACAAACCACAGCCCAGCTCCAACTCTGCCCAGGAACCAGGACTGAACCCAACTCAATTAATCATTAAATTTCAGCATTTCCTTTCACTGGGGTCTGAGCCCCTTGCATTTCCCCTCTGATCCAGGTACATTTCCCATCACTGCACCCCAGCTCCACTGCATTTCCTGCTGCATCCTAATCCAACTGCATTTTCCCTTCTATTTGTGATCCTGGTGGGTTTCCCCTGTGTTCCCCTTGGTCTGGGTGCCTATCACCCCTTCTCCCCTCCATGGTCCAGCTGCGTTTTCCCCTTCCCCTTGAGCACCCTAAAAATTAACAGAACTGAATCTCCTTGCTGTGAGAGACAAGGCTGTGACTCGGCTGTTTGTGAGCTGTCCCACCCGGGAAGGCAGCCCTGCACGTACCCGTCCTTGCCCAGCAGGGAGAGCTGTCCCACCCTGTCACATACCCGGAACCTGTCCCAACCTGGCATGTACCTGTCCCTGCCCAGCAGAGAGAGCTGTCCCACCCTGTCACGTACCCGTCCCTGCCCAGCAGGAAGAGCGCGGGGATGTCGGCCGTGCGCCGGGAGCTGTCCTGGATCATCTCGATGTAGAAGCTGTCATTGTCGTAGGCGTTGTCGGCGATGATGATGGCCCGCCCGCCGTGCTCCTGGATCACTCGTGTCTTGGACAGGAACGAGCAGCCCCTGTGGCACAGAGGGACCACGGTGTCACCAACCTGGGGTGGCCATGGATGGCTCCAGAGCCTGCACCTGCCAGAGCTGGCCTGGAGACAGCCAAACTAGGGATTGTCTCCCTGATTCCCCACCTCCTCCAAACCCTGTGACAGTGTTCACAGGGGTTCTTGGATGAGGCAAGAGACGAGAATGTTGACTCCATGTTCAGAAGGCTTGATTTATTATTTTATGATATATATTACATTATAACTATAGTAAAAAGAAATAGAAGGAAAGGTTTCCTCTCAGAAGCTAGCTAAGAATAGAAAAGAAAAGAATGATAACAAAAGGCAGCTCTCTCGGACTCTGTCTGAGATAGCTTGGTCCTTGATTGGCCATTAATTATAAACATCCAAGATGGGCCAATCACAGATGGACCTGTTGCATTCCACAGCAGCAGATAATCATTGTTTACATTTTGTTGCTGATTCTTCTCAGCTTCAGCAGGAAAAATCCTAAGAAAGGATTTTCACAAAAAGATGTCTGCGACAAAACCCTGCTCCTTTGAGTCTGTATTTTAAGCACAAGCCACCCACATTCCTAAAAAAAATGAAATAAAATCATGGAATGGTTTGTGTTGGAAGAGATCTTAAAGCTCATCCAGTTCCACCCCTGCCATGGCAGGAACACCTTCCACTGTCCCAGGCTACTCCAAGCCCCAGTGTCCAACCTGGCCTTGGACACCTCCAGGGATATGAGGCATCCAAAATATCTTTGGACAACCTATCACAGAGAAGAGTTCTTTGCCACTGTCTAATCTAAACCTACTCTTTTTCAATCTGAACCCAGACAGCATTTTTTTCTACCTTGTCACAGGCTAAAAACCACAAGATGCAATTCTCCAGGGCAGGTACACCCTCGCATTTTCCTGGTTTCTCTAAGTGGGGGAAGCCACAGGATGAATCTGCAGGTGATGGGGAGATGTGGCCAGGGCTCCCCTCCTGCCCAGCAGGGTCCCCCAGCCGGTGTCCTGGTGCCAGACCTACCCCCTCTCCACCAAGGCGATCTGGTCCTGGATGAAGACGCCATTGTTGAGCTCTCCACAGGCCTCCGGAGGATCCGCGGGCACCAGGTGGATCTGGTCGTACCTTGTGTTCTCCGAGGAGACAGGAGGGGTAAGCTGGGGCATGGAGCTGCTCCCCCTCCCCACCCTGCCCACCTGGGCTGTCCCACACCCTGCTCATCCCTCTGGGGGCTGCTCTGGAGGGATTCTGGGCTCCCACATTCAGGGACACTCAGAGCCATCCCTGGGGCCAATCCCTGCTTCTGGAACCCTGCTGAGGGATGCTTGTAGAAGAGCAATGAGCTCCATTTTAATCAAAACCCCAAATCACTGAGTCCCACTCAGGAGCAGTATTGGGATGGAGAGACCCAAAGTGGTAAATTCAGTTTTTAATACTTACAAACACACCACCGAAATCCTTGGCTGGGGTGGCAGTGAAGATGTAGCGGATGTCCCCGGGGCTCAGCACTTGGAAGTACAAATACTCATGGATGCGTAATCCTGGGGGGGGAAAGGACAGAGCTGAGGCAAGGGAAACTAGAGGCAAAACCCCTGAAAAAAGGGGAAAAGTCTCTGACTTTTGTCAGTTGTCACTCCTGAACCATGGGGGAGAGAACAGGCCCTCCACCAATGCCAAATCCCGGCTGGGCTCAGGACCCAAAATGGCCCAAAGGTTTTGGGGTGTTCCAAAGGCAGATGGGGCAGTTCCCAGGAGGTGAGAGGGGATGGGGGTGAGAAAAGCACAGGGACTGGGGTGCTCAAGGGGAAAATGCTACTGGGCCATGGAGGGGAGAGGGGTGATAGGCACCCAGACCGAGGGGAACAGGGGAAACCCACCAGGATGACAAATGGGAGGGAAAATGCACTTGGATTAGGATGCAGCAGGAAATGCAATGGAGCTGGGGTGCAGTGGTGGGAAATGTACCTGGATCAGAGGGGAAATGCAAGGGGCTCAGACCCCAGCGAGAGGAAATGCATCCGGATTGGGGTGCAGGAGGGGAAATGCAACCAGGTCGAGCTGCACCGAGGGAACTGCAGCAGGCTGCAGGGGATGCAGGGGGGGAAATGCATCTGGATTGGGATGTAGGAGGTGAAATGCACCCAGATTGGGATGTGGGAGGAGAAATGCGATGGTGTGGGGGCATAGCGAGGGGACATGTCCCCGTACTACGAAACGGGTACAGGAGAGGAACCGCAATGGGGCTGGGCTGCTGGGAGGGAAAATACACCGGGATACAGACACAGCAGGGGAAATAGACCGGGATACAGACACAGCAGGGGAAATACACCGGGATACAGAAACGGGAGGGGAACTACATCGGGATACGGACAGGGGAGGGGAAATACACCGGGATACAGACACAGAAGATGAACCGCAACGGAGCCGGGCTGTCGGGAGGGGAAATACACCGGGATACAGACACGAGAGGGGAAATACATCGGGATACGGACAGGGGAGGGGAAATACACCGGGATACAGACACGGGAGATGAACCGCAGCGGGGCCGGGCTGCTGGGAAGGGAAATCCACAGGGATCGCGGTGCGCCGAGCGGGGAGGCG